CACTGTGTTTATTTCATGTGCATTTTTACTCATATGTAATATTTTTCATTTTAAAAGTATGGAATTAATATGATACAGAGTATATTTTCTCAGCTGTTGAAATTGCAATGTAAAATGGAAAAAGTAGTTTCATTTTTACAGAAATGGCAGAACAAAGATTTGGATTAATATTCAATGTCTTTTCCCTGGAATTAATATTCTGCTTAATATTCAGTGGTTAAATATATTACAAAATTTGAGCTTTGTGAGCACTACCACAGAGGCCATTCATCCCTAATTACACTCTCAGAGCCAGACATGGACTGAGGAAATACACTGAGATAATTTCCATCATCCAGGTGGATGCTGATGATAAGAAATTCATTACTTTGTTACAAAGTGAGGCCAAGGCCAGCTGCTCTCTGTTACTGTAGGTAGAGCAACTTTGTTATTAGGAAAAAGCCAAACAACAAAACCTTCCATCTCCTCTGAACTTTCTGTAACAAATATTTTATTTTGGAAACAGTTAAGGTAACATTGAAAACTAATAGGGAAACTTGCTAGAAGGACTAAAAAGAAAATAATTCAAGAACAGTGACTCGGTATCAGACAGCTGATAACAATCACAGTGATTGTGACCAAGAGACAAAACTTGGTCAGTACCAGATGCCAAAACTGTTTCAGCAGAAGACTCACATACATGAAACATGACTTAGAAGATTGGTAACAAGAAACATTAACAGGAGTGTTGGTAGTCCTCAGGAATTAAATTTATATTTTACATCAAACACAAAGACTTGCTTTGTGCGTGTTGTAAAATAAAATAATAAAAAGTTATTCTTCAAAATTTAAAGAACTAATTCAAAGTGCAAACTAATCAAAGAACAGAGTTAAAGCTCATGTCTAAGAAAGCACAGTACTGAGCAAAGTTAGAAAAAACCATTCCTGTATGAAGATGCTGTGTGGTATGAGTTAAGGATAACTCTCCCAGCTGCAGCCACAGCCCTCTGTTTAGCAGGGAGAGTCCAACGAGCTGGGGGCCATGACTTTTTTGTCCTAGATCTCCAGGTTCCTGCCCTACAAAGAACACCTGGGTTATCTCTGCTTTTTGTTTTCCCTGCATGAATAAACACTCAGTTACACTGTCAGAACAGTGACTTGTGCCAGGCTCCAAGGTCCCATTACCATTGGCAAAATGCTGCATTTGCTGTCCTTTAAAGCTTCACCCAGAAAATGGGGTTACTCTTCTCTCAGAGAGCAGAGTGGATCCTCCACAAAAGCACAGAGGGAGCAGGAACTCATAGCTGGAGATGGGGAACTACAGGAGTCATAACAAGGCACTGATGAAAGATGGAGCTTGGCTTTAACCATGAAACCACAGCCCAGGTCAGCAGGGGCTGAGAAAATGGAGGCTCAATTATGCTTAAACTAATCAACAGAAATCACAGTGCTTATTTTCTGCACGAAGGCATTGGCTGGCCCAGGAGATGAGCATGAGCATAGCTCCCAGTTACTGAGACAGGCAAGAAACTGGAGTGGCAGGTGGGGAGGCAGAGCCCCTTCCCCACAGTGAAAGGACAGCAGTGAAGGAAAGAGGAGACTTCCATGCCCAGAAATAGCACTCCAAGGTCTGTCTGCTTTCCTCTGTTAGTGTGAGTCCTTGCAGGCTGCAGAGCTCAGCTGCAGGATCAGGGCACTGGCCCAGGACAGCAGTGCCAGCCCACACCACCCTGCAGGAATACACTTTCTCAATGGGTACTGTCACAAAACGCTTTGGGAAAAGCTCCATGATACTTCCTACCCTCAGCCCCAACTTGACACGTAACAGTGACACTGCCCAGAAGGCACAAATGTCAACAGCTCTTACAGTCTGGCTGGCACCACATTTAGGTAACAGATTAATGACTCTATGGTACATCCTTTTATAAATCACACTGCACATCTCAAATTCCAGTACCTACCACCACCATCAGTGTTTACAAGTACAGCTGGAAAGGGCCCTGCATGTTTGTACAACACTTTTTGTTCAGCGAGCCACAACTAGCCATCCAAAAGACAACAGCTGAAACATTATATTAAAGGCTTTCCAGTGAGCTTTATTGCTGCCACTTTCTTGGAAACCATATCCCTAGCTCAGCAAGGCAGTTCTTCTTTCTCTGAGCCTACTCTGCCCTTGATTTAAGACTTTCCATTCTTGGTTGTCTGCAGCTGTCACCTCCCTTGTGACAAGAACCAGCAGTTATTTGACCTGCTGCATATTCCCAACAAGACAAGTTAGTCTTCACTTGTTCACATTTTTCAAGGAGTATTTCCACTGATTTGGCATGCCATTAACATCCCTGCAAACGGCTTAGGCCAGGACCCTCCTCAAAACACCTTGGATTGTTAAAGCTGTATTATTTCTTTATAATGTTGGAATTTGCTAAATTCACTTTAGAGAGTCCTCTTTTTAAGCTTCCTTTCAGCTATGGCTAGAGAACCTCAGTCCCCACAAACTTGAAAGTGACTGATACTGTCTTGAGGGAAGCAACACAACTATATATGTGTATTTGAAGTATTGCACACATTCAGCATAGGCCATGCTAAGCTTCCCAAACAGAGCTGCTGTAAGGAACAAAGCCATCAACAAGCTGTCTCTAATGCCACATGCCTGACAGATTGCTCCCTGTGTGTACTCTTTGGAGAAGTTGAGCAACAGAGGTTGGTGTAAGATTAATATTTGAAAAACTGGAGGAATGTTGGAGCTAAGCAGCTGGTCAGATCACACAGCTGCAGCCAGGGAAAGGCTGCTCCCCTCTCTGCAGAACGGCTTCTCTCTGTGACAGCCCTGCCTTGGCACACTGACAGCTGCACTGGCAGCCCCAGGATGGTCTGGCTGGGCAGTGTGCAGGGCTGTGCAGAGTGTGCTGCACTCCCTGTGTGCAGGGCTCTGCTGGAGCTGGGCAGCTTTGCCGTGGTCACCCTCAATGCTGCACTGGGACAGGAAGTGCCTCCTTTCATCACCACAGCAGAGTTCAGCCTTTGCCTCTGTGGTGGAGGCATCCTTTCCTGAGTGCTGTGCAAAGACTTTCAGATCAACAGGTGCTGGCTCTGTGAGTGAGATGCTCTGTTTTACCTCACGGCTGAATCCCAGCTAGAGCAAGCACTAGGCCTATGCTAACAACTAGTTTTGTTATCAGGAAGTGACAAACTCAGTGAGGAGGACAAGAACAGGATGCTCTTCAGAGATGTTGTTTGAAAATATTTGCTCTGTGACTTCTGCTGCCAGAACTACGGTAAATGAATCCTTTAACCTTCCTCTATATGTCAGTCACTAACTTGTTTGTTGCAAACTGAACTAATAAAAGACATGTGCAGGTTCTAAGGGCATCAGTCAGCATTGGAAGAGATCAGTCACTGCAATCTGTCCAGCATGTTAACTTCCTTCTAGCAAAGCAAGATATCATTTGTCACTGGCCCTTCTCAGTAGTTACTGCTCAGAGATAAAGAGCCATGATGACCCAGCTGACCCTGCACATTTAACACACAAAACCTGAAAGTGAAAATACACTGACAAGGACAGTGTGACATTATACATGCAGCCTGAGGAGGAGAGGGCTGCTGTGGCCACACAAACCTTGACAGCCTCTCAGGCTGATTCAAGCAGCAATGGCCAGCCTTTGCCAGATTGTTCCAGCTACACTTCTCCATTCAAAATCCCCACTATCCATCAGCTTGGTGAATGATGTTCATCATCTCAAAAGATTCCCAAAACCAATTCAGAAACCCAAGTAAAAATAAACTACTCAGTCTCCAGTTTCTCATTTTAGTAGTTTGACTGTTTAACCTAAGGTCTCCTAGGTTAAAAACCACACCTCTTACACCCTGCATACATACACTGAATTTCTTTACTGCTCACTGTTGTCAGGTTTTCACTGTCTCTCAGTACCAGGCAGTACTTAAAAGTAAGCAGTTATAGGAAATTTAATAGTTATGGCCTACCTGAGAGGGAATGGAAAATAAACAAACAAACCAATCTCAACCCCTCTCGCCTTAAAAAAATCTTCTCAAAACTCTAAAGATGAAATAGCTGAGAGTGAAAAAAAAAATCAGCAGGGATACAGCTCAACTGAATTGTTTTAATGGAACTCAATTACTGGCCCTTAAAAAGGAGTGATGGCACATACACAGTCATTTATCAAAACCAACTGCCAGACATTGGGAAAGAAGCCAACCTTTGTAGTGCCTTAATTTTGCTATTTTCATATTAAAATGAAAAACATTAGAGGGTTGTACACTATGTGGAAACCAGCCATCCTCATCCAGAGCATTGTATATTGCCCAGTGACTGGGGTAGCCAGTTCACAAACCCAGCAGTGTTTCAGCAGGTGCTCATGGTTAAGCAGGGTAACAATTGGTAATTACCCCTAAAATTAATACCTGTGGATAAGCCTTTATACATTAGAAGCTATATACATGAGAATTAATACCTGGAGAAGCCTTTATACATTAAAAGTTATATACAAGCATTAACCAGTCCAGCTGGAGATTTGAGAGGTGGAGCCTTTCAGAATACAGGCTTATACTTTTTTCTTGCAGGCACATATGAACATGTGATGTCAGTGCTTGGAGCCAGGTGGAAAGAGCAGTGCTGTGGAGTGATGCTAAAACAGCAGCCAAGTCAAAGTTCTGTGTCTGTGGTGACAGCACCACGGGCTCCTGGCTCCCAGAGCAGCATGTGAACTCAAGTCTAAAGCACGGACACAGGGGACACCTATCTACAAAAGACAATGCAAACATACCTTTTGTTGTCCTAGTTGCAAGAAAAGAAACAGGAAAAACAGTTAGCACATTTAACCTAAAGAAGAAAGCCCAAAAAACTACAAAAAGTTCCCATCCAAAGTGGGGGTTAGTCTGTGTGGAGGTGTGTGCTGCTTTTGCAGTATATTGTAACTGATGTAGGCTGTCAAGCAGAAGGATGTACCAAACTCCCCATGTGTCAGATTTTGGGATCATGTGATGTCAGTGTGACCCGACCTTACCTTCCCAGCTCCTCCCCGATCTCGTACACGTCCTCCACCCTCTGTTGCTTGAAGAAAGCCATACTTGGTCTTTCATTGATGCTCAAGGATGATGCAACTAGAATATTAATGAGGAATGACACTCATTACATCTTGCAAGAGGCTAAGTCTCAGTAACACACGTTTGTGGTATAGGCACTTTGGATCCATTGCAGCTCATTCATGGCCAAAGTTACCACTGATCAATCAAAATAACGAATTCAGCAGCCTCAGCCAAATAGTGAGGGTTCAAATCTGGAAAGAGATGAGCACTTTTAAGTGAACGAGATTCTTGGCCACCTCTGGCATACCCAAGAACACACCTAACTAGACGCACAGGACACACCAAGAAACACGAATGTGATGAAAGGAAAAATAATAATTTGACAAAGTTCTGGACAATAAAGCCTTCACACTACACTAAAGAGAGCCAGCACAAGAATTAGCATTACAGACTCCCTCTGACAGATCCTGAGCCGGGGGACCAGGAGGCAGAGCTTCCTTTCTCTCAGGTCTGGCAGTGCTCCTGAAGCACACAGACATTTGAACTGCTGCTGGAAAAAAGTGCTGTGGTTCCCTCTCCAGAGCTTTCAGCACATCTTCCATCAAGCACAGTAGATGTTTCAAACAAGACCACCAGCAGCATCTGCTGCAGGTGTTACTCTGTGTAACTGTGCAGTTTGTTTCCTGAACAGAATCTTTTAAGCTGATAATCTCTGCGAGCTCTGAAAATGCAAGCCTCACACTGGTGCCCTGGAGCATCTGTGCGTGATGCTGGGCTCCTTCTGGATGAGGAGAAGATGAGAACTCACATTATTCCTTGGGATACACCTCCCAAGCAGTGTGTGATTGTAACAGAGTAGATTTGAGCAGAATAATTGGCCAGTCAGGTCATGACCTATTTGTTATTTCCTGTGGGGATGAACACTGGCACTATGCCCAATGGCCCCAATATCCACTGTTTACATCAGAACATGTAAAATAGCTGTAAGGCTTCTAGCACCACAGTAAAGTGTAACCACATCGAGGCATAGAGTGATTCTCACACATCTCTACACTCAACACTGTATCTTGTCAATGCAATGTGCTTTGCTTTATGAATCCCAGATGCTGCTTGCTTCAGATGCACTAGGGACTTCCAGGTTCTGTACCTCTATACAGCTCCTGCATATTTTTAAATGGCAGTCATTGGCATCTGACTGGTGCATATCATATTTCATTAGCAAACAAAGCTCTATTTTGATCCTTTAGAAATAAGTTCAATTCAGTGTTGCAAGAAGATTCACCAGACCTATAAAACAGGACTAAGTACCAAAGAGCAATTGCAGTACTGCTGTCAAACTGAAAGGCACACAAACTGAAGATTTTTCTCCCACAAAAGCAGGTATGTAAGCAGAAGATACATTGTAAAATCTAACAATTCATCAATACACACCCAAGCTGTCATCATTCACACACCTCAGAAAACAAGACTGGTTGCTTTGTTTGCCCCAGATCTTTTTGCAAACCACTGGCTTCTAATGCACAGGTGGCATGTTGAGCATCAATTCCTTTCCAAATATGCTCCTTCTATTGCTTCAAAGGGACAGAAAGTCTCCTAGCGCTTTTACAGAAATATATTTTTAGTCGACGTTAGCAAAACCTACACATTGGGAGAAAAATTCTTAGATTGCTTTATGTCAAGCATAAGGGCTAGGACATCAACACTTACAGCCCCAACTTCAGCAGTGCCAGAAGATGAGTGACAGCCCTGGGGCTGCTGCATTCCTGCCAGCAAATCTGCTCAAACCCCAGTTCCAAAGCTCTGGAATGGAGGCAAATGCCTCCCTTGCCCTCCTGTGTAACAGTGCTTCAGCAACAATGTCTCTTGTTGGGCCACCCAAGGCAAAGGAGAGAAACCACACAGGTTGTGACGCTGAAGCCCAGGGTAACCACCCCACAATTCAAATACGTTGTAGAAACCAAAACTTGCTTTGGTGAGCATGATGCACTGCAATGTGGGTTTCTATTTTTTCACTTTGTATCCTGGCTTTGCCCACATTTTCATAGTTTTTCAATGTGAAGCAAGGTGAACTGATCTGTTAATTCTGTTACTTAATAATTTCCTTCCCAAAACCATGTCCATGCTTGGGACGAAAATATCTATTTTATTTTTCAATGAAAATAAGCAACTCAAATTTCACTTTGTAAGCAAATTACAAAGTGATTTATACAAAGAAGAATACTTGAAGTGTTCTTCAAGTAACCTTTTATAATCTCACCAAAAGATCACTGACTACTATTGCTCAGAGCTTGAAACTACAGTCAATAAATGCTTTAGTCATGTTTACAAGAGGGCATCTCTGAGCTATTTGCTCCTAACTAAGTTTATTGTTCAAAGCAGAATTTTCTAAAATGTTGATTGCATTCAGCCTTCATAGACTTCAAAAAAGCAAACAAAGGACAAAGCCAAGCCTTGCTGAAAACCCCAAACCTTTCATTCACCCTGAATTGCAAAATTATATTCTGAGCACATGCAAAAGTCGAGTACAGGAAAATGCCCAGGTAATAAGAGATGCTGCTGAGACTTGCCCAAAATTGTAAATCCCTCAAGCTGACTACTCCCTTCATCAGAATCCAAGCCACATGGTTATAAACAACATTAATGCAAACACACCTAAAAAGTCATTGTTTTAAGAAAGAGTTCATTACCATTCAGAAGAGCAAGTTAAAAAGAGTGCTCTGAGAGTGGGAAACCCATCTAAAATGCCTCTGTGAACACAGTGACCTAATGTTTGATTGACACGTTCACTCATTTCCCAGCATCCTGCAAAGAACACAGCTGATTCTGCAGGTGCATAGAATCCATGTGAAAATAACCAGGAAATTCTCATCCCTTCTGCCCCTCTCTTAACTTGCACCCATTTCTGCAGAGGTCAGAGCACTAAGTCAGATCTCCCAGGAAGGACCCATTCGAGCCCAGAGCCTCGCTTCTGAAAACAAAACTCACAGAGCTCAGCCCCCAGTGGTGCCTCTGATGCCCTGGTGTTTACCATGTCTGTCACTTCATGTTACCCTGTCCTTCCACAGATCTCTCTCTGGCTTTCACCCAACAGTCACACCTAGCAAATGCCCAAAATAGATCATACACTCGATGGCCAAAGCAATTGTCACTGGCACAGCACAAGGGGGAAAGCCAACAAAAGATAACCTCACATGCTTAAAATTCATCTGAAATAGAAGTGCCATTCACAAGCATGAATGTTACCCTTCTCAGACAATACAGCCTCACCTAGGAAACTAAGCTGATTTCACTTTCAAAGATTTCTTATACTACAAGGTTTCTGTTGGACAACATTTACAAGTACAGTAGACTATTTACAAGGACATCAAAGGAGGAATGAGAGCCTTCATGTTTTTTCTAGTCAGGTGGTGATTTTTCTTATGATGGCCAGTGAAGGCAGGCAGAATTAGAGATGGACAGACATTCATCTTGGACTCAGACTAAAAAGTTGTTCAGGGTCTGAGGAAAGAGCAACAACCACCTTTTTTTCCCTGGCACATACATTATGCTAACACTTCAGGGCCATGTGCCCCAACAATACCAAAATCCAGTGAGTCAGGGCCATTCCCATCACTCAGGATCTGCACCAGAATTCATTAAACCCAGGGTGATGAAGGTACCTGCTTCAGTGAGTTTTGAATCAGAGCTCAATTGCTCCAAGGCAAGCTCAGCAGAGGAGATGAGCTTCTGTGTCCTTTCAAAGAACATGCCATGTTTATTTCTCAACCACCTCACACTGGGACCACCTCTCCTCAACTCTTTACTCTGGGATTCCTCACAGTGAGCATTCTCATGTGAAGGCCAGCTTCTACTCACAATTTATGCTGCTGTGTTTCCACATGATACTCCATAGTATAGTATAGCATATGTTTACTGTAAGAACATAATACTTCATCTTTTATTGCTGTATCCAACTCTCCTTAACACGGGCCAAATATCACAAGGCAGCAAAGTTTTGCTTATCCTGTGTGAATGATTTTACTACAGACATGGAGTAAAACTGCAGGAAACCCAGAAATAGGATACAGGCCCTGAGATGGCCGTTTCAGGCACTAGAAACATGTCCTGCCTCATCTTTTCACATTCTTTTAAAACTCTGCCCTACCATTAAATAGGATCATATTTACCCTAAGAAACGACAGTTTCTCATTGTGATCTAAGGCATATATTTACACACACACACTTTACATCAGTACAACCTCTGGATAAAGACATTCTTATTGCAGTACACAAGGACCTCTTCGGTGCAGCTCGTCCTGTGTGTAAAGGACATCAATCTACAGGAACCCACTCTTCCACAGAGAGTGACAGAATCCCTCTCAAGAGGAGCAGAAGAAAGTAAGTTCTATTTGTCTCCTCTAATGAAGGTTTCCCCGCACAGATAAGTTATTAACCTGTTATTATCAAATTATGTGACAATCAGTGACTGGTTTATACATGTCAAACCCATGATAAATGTCCACCGGCCAGTGAATGAGAGCAGAACAAAGAAATCAGAGGTGAGAACAAAACTGTAGGAGCACTTCCCTTGCCAACAGCCTTGCATTTTTTCCCCTTAGGGCATCTTCTGTCCTAAGGAAACCAGTTTCAAGTGACTGAGGTAACAGCTGAATAATCTGACTTTCTCAAGTACACCTGACATGAGCTGAATCACTAAACCTTTTGCCAAACTCAGAAGCATTCCCCATGGCATACTTTGATATTACAAAATATTAGTTACACTTAACTAAAATCCCAAACCCATTAGAACGGACCAAAGCAAAAACTTCCCATATGAACTATTTTATAATACTGAAAAATGACCAAAACCAATTTAGAATCAAAACCGGACTGTTTTAAATTAACGATCTGAAAAAAAAACCCCAAAATCCATTAAACAAATTGAAGTTATATTGTCTTCTAGTTTTGGTAAAACTAAACAGATTTTTATAAGCATTAAAATATTTTCTTCTTTAGTTTTCATTCCTTTTTCTACCTTTCTTTCTTTTTCTTCTCTTTCATGCCACAAGACTAAGCAATTCCAACAACAAAAAAATCCTCAAACAACCCAAGTAGGTTTTACCTTCTGCTTTCAAAAAAGAGCAGCACAGTTAAAAGTTCTGTTAACTTCAGCAAATCCCTATTTTCACTGAAACATTTTCCTGTCAGAAAACAAAAGTAGCCTAAAATTTTTTTTCTGCCGGGAAATTGAGGCAACTATTACTACCTGCATGTCTATAAAAAACACATAACACACCCAGCGTTTAAGCAATTCAGCCACTAACTCTCCAGGGCTTCCTTCCTGACCTCCCA